ATTAGAGATGAGGATGAATATAAAAATGGATTGCTTTTTCCAACGAATATAGCCATTTTGTTAAATATTTGTCGGTCCATATTTGTGGGTTCTAGAGACCTCCCACGAATATGAAGGGATGAATATTTACCCATTTTTATTCATCCCCCATATTTAAAAAACAAACAAAAACAAACACCATTCTGCCTACTGTCCGCCAATCAGCTGGTAGGCAGCAGAAAGGCAGCCACCACCCCACACAGCCACCCAATACCACAGCCTACCCCACCACCTTCCTTTCCCTACCTTAGACCCCACTCCTACTGATACCCCCTTCCCTTAATAACTACTGCTGAGGTCTCCATCAGGCCTCCACAGCCACAGGTTGTAAAAAGGGAGACTGGCTGCCCTTTGCAAAGATGGTGGCTGCGGCTTCATTTAGGGTAGGGAAGCTGCAGCTGCCATCTTTGGAAAGGGCATCCTAGATTCCCTTAGCCTACCTTGAGGATTAAGCCACTTTAATGTCTAGGAGAGTGTTTTACAGTGGTACCTCGAATCATGAACGTCTCCACTTGTGAACGATTCAAGTTATGAATGGCTCCGTTCGCAAAAAGTTGCTTCCACTTACGAATGAAAAAAAACACGAAAAAAAATCTCTCCTGCCCTTTTTTGACCTAAGTTCATTTTAGGTCAAAAGAAGAAAAATAATAAAAAAAAAATCTCCCCCTAGTGGACGGATTAATCAGCTTTGCATTAGTTCCTATGGGAACTAATGCCTCTACCTACGAACAGCGCCTCGACATACGAACAAAAAACAGCCTGAATGGATTAAATGGTTTTCAATGCATTCCTATGAGAAATCTTGCCTAGACTTACGAACTTTTCGACGTATGAACGCCGTTCCAATACAGATTAAGTTCGTAAATCGAGGTACCACTGTTCTTAGTTATGACTCTTGCAAGGATTGTCTGATTGCAGTGATTCACACTTTTGCAATTTCCCAAGAGTAACTTCCAGATTCCTGTAACATAAGAGATTATCTGGAAGCTATAAGTAATTGTGAAATAGGGCAACCAGAATTTTAATTGCATAACCAGTAGGATCATATTATACTGATTCTGCAAGAGCACCATGAGCCAAATATTGAGCCAAATTCAAGGTGCTGGTGTTCATGGTGGTCTAAAAACATACGTGGCTTGGGATCCAAATACCTGCAGGCCTTTCTCCCAATATAAACCTGCCTGTGACTTAAGATCGCCAAGGTGAGTTCTTCCCCAAGTGCATTGGATGCATTAGAGCTCTGCTTATTTACATGCCATCAAGTTGTTTCTGATTTACAATGGCCTTTTCCAGGGTTTTCTACATATAGAGTACTCAGCAGTGGATTACCATTTCCTTCTTCTGAAGATACTCTAAGACCTTTTCGTGTGCCCAGGACTACACAGGCTGGCTTTTTGCCCAGGAGACACAGTGGGAAGTTGAACTCCCGACCTGGTTGGGTACCCAACACACTGAGCTATCCAGCCAGCTACAGCCTTATTAGGACCTTTATATAGCATGTGCATACCGCATGTGATGAGGCAAACATGCTACCTCTTCTTCCACCACTTTTGTCGTGCAAAAATGACAATCTAAAGAAGAGACCCGGCTGCATCTTTGGATGTTCCGCACTTGAGCCAGAATGCTGAAACAGCAGTGGTCTTTTGGTTCACATTTAGGGCCTCCAAGGTCTCCAGATACTGACTTTCATGTGAGGAAAGTAATAATAGAGGGATGGGCAAGGCCAAGATACTCCTTGTATTTCATTTGCAGTAAACATGGCTTATTAAAGCTGAATAGGATTTATGTATGAACAAAGGGGAGAGAGAGCTTTTTTGCCTATGCCGCCCAACTATACAGAATACTCTCCTTATGGAGATTGGCTGGCATTAATACAGCATTTTTTCTGTGCCTATTGAAAACCTTTTTTGTTTGCAAAGGCAACAGCCAGAATTTGGCAATTTATGCTTGTATAAAGGAAGGAATACTCTCCTTATGGAGATTGGCTGGCACTAACACAGCATTTTTTCTGTGCCCATTGAAAACCTTTTTTTGTTTGCAAAGGCAATGGCCAGAATTTGGCAATCATGTTAGTCATAATGGCAAATTGTCATTGGTTAAGCAGGTATTTGTTGCATTTCTAAGTGCATTATCAACACCTTGATTGATAATAAAGTAGCATTTCTCACAAGATGGCTGTCATATTGTGCAAACTTGCTGTTACTTCTGTATGGAGATTGCTCCAGGCAGTGAGCAGCTATATAGTTTTTTGTCGACAGGCTGCCATCTGGTTTGCTGGTGACACAGACAGAACATGTGTTGAGAGAGAGGGATTTGAAACCATGTTGTGATGTGGTGTGCGTATGCCTGAGCCATGTGTGAAAATGCCTCACACTGCGGCCTGAGCTTCCCAGGCTATATAGGTAAAGGTAAAGGTTCCCCTTGACAATTTTTGTCCAGTTGTATTCGACTCTAGGGGGCGGTGCTCATCCCCGTTTCCAAGCCATAGAGCCAGCGTTTTGTCCGAAGACAATCTTCCGTGGTCACATGGCCAGTGTGACTTAGACATGGAACACTGTTAACATGTGTTGAGAGAGAGGGATTTGAAACCATGTTGTGATGTGGTGTGCGTATGCCTGAGCCATGTGTGAAAATGCCTCATACTGTGGCCTGAGCTTCCCAGGCTATATATACTGAGCTAAATCTCATTGTTGGAGAAGACCTACTGAATTGATGACACTTGTTAAGTCGACACTTATGAAGCTCCAGTTGATTCAATAGGTCCACTCTAGCCAGGATTAACAATTAGTTTTACTCCGGTCTTATTTATTTATTACCATTATTCATGAACCATTTTTTTCCAACCTGGATCCTGAAAGTGATGTGCAATAAGATACATAAAATATTATTTAAGAAGAAATTAAAAGCACATTTGATAACCAGAAGGCACAATGCAACTTTAACCATGCTGTAGAAGGAGAATGGTTATGGAGCCAATCTGATATCTATATAAGTCCCCAAAGTAAGCTCTTAGGTGCCTCTAGCAACGTCTAGTCTGTTACCCCAATGACTGCAATGCGACAAATGACCCTTTCAACTAGAATAGTATATCAGTGTAATTAGTTTCCTGTACTCATTGATGTTGAATTTGTTCCATTCCACGTTGTTGTTTGGCTTACTCCACTCCTCAGTGTTTTGTGGTACTTCCAAGAATTATATGAAATTGTTTTGTATTCCTTCTGTCCACAAGCAATCTACACCTGGACACAAAGCTGGAAGCTTTTGCAGCCATCACTTGTGCTTTCTAGTACTTGGCTTAAATAAAATCTTGAATTAATAATCAGTTCCAGAACAGCAGCAGATACTCAATAAATCACTTTAATAGCCAAGCTGTAGTATAGCTGTTTATTTTTAGTTCCACTTGCTGAGGGATGAGAAAACATTGAATAACTCACTCCAACTATTTCTAATGCATGCGCTTAGCAGATTTTTATACCTAGAACCTAGAAGTTAGTATCAGATGGAAACTGTTGAATTTGACTATTTCTATACCTGTTAATCTCTAGCCATTCTGAATCTCTGGCCTTTCATGAGTAGGTTAAGGATCTTCAGTAAGATGGGAAGAATGTTCATGATAGACACAGCCTGATAGATCTTTAAACTCAGGCCCTGATCACATGAGAGAAATGTCCTCTAGTTATCAACCAATTATATCATAGTGTTGTTGTTGTTTTTCCTGGTCACACGGTTCACAGTCAAGATTGAAACATATTCCCTGCCAGTAATGTAACTGCAGTTTATTTTTCAGTCCCTGAGAGGCTTGTGTTATTCTGTACGTCTGTTGTACTGGTGCATTCCTTACTGGGTTTGCCTGTGTGTACAACCTGCCCTGCTTCTTTTCTGAGGCAAAAGTTTTAAGGTTGCTACCATTACTGTGGTTTGCATAGTCTTGGTTTTTTCCCCTGTCTTGTCTGGTACACTGATATGTTTCTAAAAGTACATTACAGCCAGGATGGGTTTTTTTAAAGTCCATATTAATGATATATCGAACTGAGGGTATTCATCATCATTGGCCGCATGTAATGAAAAAAGATTTTATAGTCGGCCCTTCCTAACTGCCTGTGTGTTCAAATGTGTAGGTACAGCCTACTAGTCTTACTGCTAAGAGTGTGCCTTTTTTTTTGTATTCATAGCCCCCTAAATTGATAACTGGGTGAACCTATGCCTAGGTTTTTAGATATACCTGTGCAGCTTGACTTCCGTATTCCAGTGTCCAGTGGATATACAGTGACATATGGTGGTCCAGTGTCCATTGTGTGCAATCAACCAGGATCAACCAGTGCAACAGAGGACAGATCTCAGAAAAACCCTTACTTAGACTTGTATCAATATCAATAATTTTTTTTTAAATTGAGGGCATAAATGGACTGTTGAGGATAGAGAGAACATAAACTGGCAGCAATGAGTAGGGTATATTAATTCAAATAGGAGGAAAGAGACCACCACCGCTAAGTGTGTTTGGGACGTTCATACCAGTATATATATATCACATGACTGCAATCCAATACAACATAGATATGGAAAGTATCAGAAGAACTACATAACATTTCCCTTGTATGACCAGGGCCTCATACTACCCTAGGCAACGCATACCAGTATATATATATATCACATGACTGCAATACAATACAACATAGATATGGGAAGTATCAGAAGAACTACAGAACATTTCCCTTGTGTGACCAGGGCCTCATACTACCCTAGGCAATAAGAACAATTGTATGAATCTAACTGGTAGTTCCAAGAGTTCCTAGAGTAGCCCCACTGAATCAGTAAGATTTTCTCATCATTCAGCAACTGATTCAAAGAGCCTACTATAGTTCAGGCTTGCATTTGGTCACCAATCAAACTGGCAGTTTTGTCTAACCAAGGAATCAACAATGTGTATTTACAACGAGAGGACCTTTTTCTTTCTATTACAGATCATGCCAGTGAGGAAAATTCCCTGCAAAGCCAATGCACCATCTGGATCTTTTTTTGCAAGAGATAATACTGCAAATTTCTTATCCTGGTGCAGAGATGTGGGAGTCGATGATACTTGTCTATTTGAATCTGAAGGTCTGGGTATGTACCAAATTGTACACATCACACTTTTCTGTGTAATATATTGAAGTCTCAGCTATGTTTCTTTTAATTTTTATTGAGCAGTATGAAAAGTTGAAGTGTTTTCCATAACTTTAGTTGCTTTGAAGTAGACTATGATTGTACTGCTTTTCATGCAAGGACGTGATTCATACTTGCTTTGGTCTTGCACCAAAATAAAATAAATATAAATATTGCATTATATAAGCAAGGCATTACTCTGCATTTTTAATGAAATGGAAAGCAAAAACAAGAAGGCATGATTCTGCCCTTATATAATTTTGACTGGGGTCTTGGCAATCTGATTTAGACTGTAATCTCATATACACTTACCTGTAAATTCTTTTTATTGAAGCCTTTTTTCTTGGAATTATGTTGCATATCAGGAAACAAGTAAATCAAAAACATGGCATAACTCCCAGCTTGTACCACTTCAGAATGCAGGTGATGGACTGTATGAGTGAATGCTTTTTCCTGTCAGTAACCCCTTTCTAGGGATAGAATTTTCACAATTCTAGGAGTTGTAGTTCCAGAACTTCCCTAAAATCCTGAAGGCAGACTTCTGGGACTGGGAGGAAAGAAACCAGGTGGCAAAACAGATGTATTTCTAACTCCATGTTATGCTTCTCTCCATATGTATTAGCTGATAAGCAGAAGGGAATGTTCCCTTCATTCACAATGCTTCCAGACATCACCCTAATGGTTGATCAATGGGACAGTCTCTGCTACCCATTAGACTCTATAGGAGGAGCTACTCACCCTCCCATGGAGCAGTGAGGCAACTCCCAGGAAGCAGTGTGACTGCAAGGGCATTCTATCATTTGTTCTAGCCAAATCATGTGGAGTGCAGCAGATAATGATGGCAGAAAAACATCTGCTTTGCCTTCTGATTTCCCTTTTCCTAGTCCCAGAATTCCTAGGTAAAGGTAAAGGTAAAGGTTCCCTTTGACACTTTTTGTCCAGTCGTGTTCGACTTTAGGGGGCGGTGCTCACCCCCGTTTCCAAGCCATAGAGCCAGCGTTTGTCCGAAGACAATCTTCCGTGGTCACATGGCCAGTGCGACTTAGACACGGAACGCTGTTACCTTCCCATCAAAGTGGTCCCTATTTATCTACTCGCATTTGCATGCTTTAGAACCGCTAGGTTGGCAGGAGCTGGGACATGCGACGGGAGCTCACTCCATTGCGTGGATTCGATCTTACGACCGCTTGGTCTACTGACCCTGCAGCACAGGCTTCTGCGGTTTAGCCCGCAGTACCACCACCTCCTAGTCCCTCCGGTTTAGCCTGCAGCGCCACCACGTCCTAGTCCCTGTCAAGGGCCTTCTACGGTTACTTCTGTGACTGGAAATCCTAGAATTACAAAAACCCATGCCTCTTCCTTTCCCACCAAAAGTAAGACAGAAGGATGCTCCCCTTTGTTAGCACACATTCCCTCTTGGTATGAGGGCATTGCTATTTGTTTTTCCAGATACTTTGATGCATAGATCAGATCTGCTATATTCACACCAGGGTCCAAGGCATAGTAACACTTAGCCCACATGCTGGAGAAGCAAGTTCCTCTTTTAAATGTTTCTCTTATCTGATGCCTCAAGATGTCATGTGGGCCCGCTGTTTCTCTCTTTCTTGTCATTTTCCTTGTAATTGTTAACACACTATGCTATAGAGATGGCTACAGTTCACTCGACCGCTCTTTTAATAGAATATCACCTCTAGAGAATCACTTTTTCGAGTATTGGTAACTTGGCTTGCTGGGTCAACCTATTCAAAACCTGAGAAGAATGAACAGACCCTTGTGTAACATTTGCAAAATGTCTTTGTGTTAGAGACAGAATGGCAAAATGGATGGCTTGTGCAAATACGGGTCTCTGACATAAAGGAATACATTATACATGTAGCATGCATAGAAACCATCTGTGGGCTGAACCAGTGAGCTTTGACATCAGTAGGGGGTTAGGAGGAGATTGGTATCCAGGCATTGAAGTCACCATGCACAGTAAAACCAGTCTTTCTCCTTGCCCAGCACCACTTGTGTTGAGATTTGTTATCCTGTCTGGAGACCCACAGAAGCATCACCATTCTTTGAGACCATAGATTCTAGCCAGAACTGAAACCTGGCAATTCTATTAGCAGAATTTGTAATATGTCTTTCTCAATTTGGGGTTTGAATCTCAATTAGATTTCATAGAGCAATTTTAATGGCATATTTTGAAGTTACAAATTAGCTAGCAATACATCACTTTAATTGGATAATCTTATCCAATGAACTGCAGAGCTAAAAGGGATCCTATAGATCATCAAGTCCATCCCCTGTCAAGGAGGCACAGCAGGAAATCGAGTTCTCAACCACTGGCTCAGCAACCAGATACCTAAACAACCAGCAGTTATTTCCTGTGTGTATCACTGTACAGTATACTTGTTTGTCTTTAAGTTGTTGGTTTTGAAAAAGGATTCTTCTTTGCATAGTTCATCTAAGTTGGAGTATGCCTCTTGGGTCACTATTATCTTTCTGGTTATTATGTCAGTATCAAAAATGTCTTAATTCTTCAGATATGAAACTCTCAACTAGTTGTTCAGTTATTCAGCTCTTCACATATTATGACTTACCTCACTTCTTACTCCAATCAGTATGTAGCTATCTGTCTTCCCACCCATTCATTTAACACATTAAGTAAGAACCTACTGGAATATGTGATGGTAGAGAAATTTGAATGTCAGGATCAATAGTTCAGATTTCTTGCCCTCTCCCATACTATCTGGCACTAATGACATCAGAACCACTGATTTGCTCTTAGACCTTCCGTAAGTCTTTAGTCTCCTCTAATTCTCCATATATTTAAGCTAATGGTGGAGAATGGAGTGTTGGTAGTTGCAATAAGACAACTTTGGATTATAATTTGATATTTACCTCTACTCCACCCCCAAAATGTCTGAATGAATGAATGAATAATTAGTAGCTTAGTACTGTATAGTAGTATAATTAGACTTACCAAAAGTCTGTAGTCCCTTAAATGTACACTAAACCATCTAATTTCTAACTAAAATTTTAACTAAATTAAGTAGCAGGGGAGCTCAAACACCATTTGATAATTCAGCACTTAGTAGGTTTATAAGAACTACCTTGAACACAAAATTGTGATTGACTCACTGTCTATCTTTTCCAGTGCAGACAATATGTGTTTCACCACACAAATGCACACATAATACTGTGTGTGTGTGTGTGTGTGTGTGTGTGTGTGTGTGTGTGTGTGTGAAATGAAAAACAAAGCCTCAATGAACTAATAATTTAGCAGAAACATCAATAGTTTTACAGCTCTACAGTAGCATAAAATAATGTTTTGCAACCTTTACTAAAACTGCCTAACTGAAATGGAGTTGATACCTGAAAATTAGTTGAATAAAGGGCATTTGGCAAGGATTAGCTGGATTAGCTTCAAATAAAGGAGTGAAAATGTGTGGAAAGAAATATCAATAATTTAAGATATGCATATGACACTGTATTACTGGCAGAAATCAGCAGTAACTTGAAACAACTACTGATGACTGTGAAAGAAGAAAGTGCAAAACCAAGATCACAATTGAACATTAGTGAACATAAGACAAAATCCAGATTACCAAATAATTATGCAGCTTTAGTTTTGACAGTGAAGAAACCAAAGTAGTTACAAAGATACTTTGGTTCAGTCATCAATCCAAATGGAAACTGCAGGCAAGAAATCAGAAGAGACCTGAGATGTGAAAGGGAAGTTATGAAGCAAATAGAAAAGATCCTTAAGAGAAGGATGTATTACTGGAAACCAAGGCCAAATCATCTATAAGACGGTATTCCTGATTACTATGTACAGATGCGAGAGCTGACAGTGAAAAAAGCTGCAGAGTGGGAGATGATATATTTGAAAAGTGGTTTTGAAGGAGAGCTTTATGGATATAATGGAGAACCAGAAATATACATAAGTGGAAGTTAGAGTGAATCAAGCCTGAACTCTATCTAGATTAGAGATGATTAAACTGAGGTCATCATATTTACTACACAAGACTCATTTTAAAAAAATCCAAGAAAAGTTAATAGAGGAAACCGTGGGCCTTTATTTTGTAGGACTTGAACAGAGCTGCTAATGACAGGACCTTTTTTCGGAGGCCACTAATTCATTTGTTGTTGTTGTTGTTGCCTTCCTCTTTTTCTGCTGTCTTCAACTTTTCCTACCATTATTGTATTGTATTTTCCAGAGAATCTTGCCTTCTCCATGATGTGCCCAGAATACAACAGCTTCAGTATGACAGGCTCTGTTTCATCACTGATTTCTAGAGCACATTCAGTCTTAATTTAATTTATGATTCACTTGTTTCTCTTTCTGGTGGTTTAGCATACCCACATAGCTTTTTTCCACCAGCAGTATTTATAAATATGTACAACTTTCTACAGCTTTGTGTTATGGAATATATTTTGTACCATTTGCTGTTCCTGTGGTTCCTTCTACATATTAAAAAAATCAACAATTCTTTTTTTCATATCCAGAGAATAAAGGATGAAAGTATTCACATCCTTGAATTTCTGTCTACTCACAGATACACATATGATTTAACAAATGTACTAAATACCTATAAAATGCAGAGGCCTATAGGACTGACATGACTTTCCTTGTCCTACAATTACCTTTTCCCCAGCTGATTCATTCAAAGAAAACAAGACACTGAATGAAAGAGGCAACATGTGTAGTTTGACTACCTGTTTATCTTTGAACCTTTTCAGCAAAGTCATCATCTTGATAATATCATTCCCCTCCCCTTTTCTTACTTACAACAAACTTCTTTTGGTACAAAATTTAGGGCAATCCTTTGCCTCAGGATTGTATTTCATCTGAAGATGAAGAGAATCAATTGTTTGTCTGGAGTTGGAATTCAGATAAAAGTCAAAAGCTGTTGTGATGGAAGACAGAGAAGGCTGCTGGAACACTAAATGAGCCCGCTGTATTATCATCAAGA